CTAAACGAGCCAGGTTTAGAAACAGGGGTAGAGCCAGAAATTTTAATTAGTGAGGTCGAGATGACAAAGTATATATGCTAATTAAAGAAAAGTTCAATATATATATATCACCAGCAAAACATAAAATATTTCAATGTATATATTCATATTTTATAAATATATAAGGGAGAATTGCGTTAAAATCTCATACAAAAAAATTAATTACCATGAAGTTTATTAAAACTAAACTAAGGTCATTAATAACACAAATAATTAATTTCTCTATGTGGAACTCGTATGTAATTTTTTCAATATGTAAAAAATATAAATATGCATTATCATTTTTTAAAAAATTTCTCCTTATGGGGTTAAGATAATCAATTATCATGTCCATGATAGACTTTTCAACAATTTTCTTCTCAATATAAACCATAATTAAATTGGTGAAAAATTCAACTTTTTTTTTTTAGCATTGAATGATTTGAATGTGTATTTAAGATATAAAGTTATGCTTGACCTAAGATATCTATTACTTGCTATTGAGTTTACTATTTAATTATTTTCATCGATAATCTATGACAATAATAAATATATGAATGCAATAGTAATACTCAACTATCATATAATCTCTATATCTATAAAATTAAATTATATAAGAGTAAAAATATTCACATCATAAATTTCAATAGCTTAGTTATAAAAAAAAGAAGTAAATTTTTTTTTGAAGAACACATTAATCATAATCTCTAACTTTTGAATAAGTAATTTTATGGTAGATATCATGTACATAACATTCAATATATATATATTAAAATTTTTGTTGCAATACTTAATAAATTTTGTCAGTAATTCTCATAATCTCTTTTATCAAATATAAAATAAAAACAGAATCAAATGACATTAATTATTGTAGAGCATATGTAGCATCATGTTGTTGGAAATGACAACTATTGAAAGACTATATATAGAATTTAAATAAAAACTCTATCTAGTGTCTCCATGCTTTTGTAATATGTTAACTTAGGGGTGGAAGATATATAACCTCTATATTTTATTAATAAAAAATTAAAAAGTTAGGAAAGCCATGGCCACCCCTAATCCCTTGTCCCCCCACCTCTACTCTTGTTTAGAAGCTTGATTACACTAAAATTTCTTAATTTTTATGTTTGAATGAAAAAAAAGTTTAAATGAGTAGCTTGTTAAACACAAGTTGTATTTTGACTCTAGTTATTGAGAAGGCAATATGGAGTAAACGAGAATGGCAAATAGGTCGGGTGAAAGTTATTGATTGAAGACATTGATAGGTTGCAATTTTAGAGGTACATAATATTCTTTCATTTTAAATTATAAAATATTTTTAAATAAAATCACATATACTAATACATTTTATTAAATATATTTTATAATCTTACTTTTTCAAAACGAAAATATAAATTTTAAAAAATATCTTTCATTTAATATTTTATTTGTGAGAGAATATTAAAGAGAAAGAGTATATAGGAAAGATAAAAACATTATTAATAAATTTTTATTTTTTTTAAAATGTCTTCTACTTTGAGATGCTGAATATTTTATAAAAATGTCTTGTAATTTGAGATTGAGAGAGGAACTTATAACTAATTATTAGTAGAATCAACCGCTTTGACTCTGCCACATCATAATTCCGCAAATTACCTTTTCACTAACAGTCCGCTGATGGGTTAATTGATCACAGGACTCCATCCTCAAGGGTCAAGACAGCCGCTCCATGCATCCGCGACAACATAATTGTCATCCTTTTCTTTTTAAAAGAATATTTATAACCAAGTAGTAAATAAAGAAGTTGATTGTTTGTTTACTTGATTTACATGTCAAACTTGTATATTTCCATGTTAAATTCCAGTATTTACATACAAGCAAATGAAAGTTATAAGTAATTAATTTCTTTATATGGTTCTATGTGTAATTTTTCTTTTCTTTTTGTGAATTGTACATTAATCATATACTTTATCAGTCACTTTTAATTGAATTACGTTTTCTTTTTGGTGAATTGTACATTAATCATATACTTTATCAGTCACTTTTAATTGAATTACGTTTGTCTTTCATAAATTAGTCGATCACCTTTAAAATTATACGCTCTTTTCATATTCATATTTTGTTTTTGGTTTTGTTATTAATTAGTTATTTATTCCAGACCAGCAGATGCTTAGGGGACCATCGGTTACGGAGATGGCCGTAAAACAGCGGTGCAGTCTTGCCCGATATGAAACATGCACCTGTCTCCCTGCTTTCACACGTCAGGATTGTTAATCATGTTTACTTTAATAGTCATTCTTGAGAATGTTGGCAAAAAAAAAAAAAAAAACTTAAGAATTACTGATAAATAACTGGATGGATGGATTTGGGAGTTTCTCCATATCAATAATCAGCAATACTTATTTTGTTTTGAAGTCATGAATTTAACTTATTGTAAACTTAAAAAACTAAAACTAGTGGTTAAAAATACACGTCTACACATATTGTATATATGAATACTAATAAACAACATTTTAACTCGGCCAAGGTGTACGCATTCCTGATTCCTTTTTTAAAGAAGGCAACATGATGCAATATAACGACTACTACTTGCCTCTGTTCAGGACATCCTGTAAATTAATTTGATTTTTAACTAAATAAAAATAAGATTAATAAAATTGAAATGTCCCTTAAAGGATATTGCCAACGGTAGAACACGGTGACAGAAGACGGCGGAACAATGGCTACAGACGGTGGTCAGTGACAGTGGCATGTGGTGGGCGTATAGCAATGGTGGAGGAAGGGGATAAAATGACACTTTAGTCATTTCGTGAGAATTGCTTGACCTAATTATTTTCTATTTCAGTTTCAGATGTAAAGAGGATTAAAAAACCTTGATGCAATAAAGTTTTACATTGCAAAGCTGATTACTGTTAAATAAAAGCATGATCAAAGCTGTTAAATTGGGTAATGCAAAAACTTTACTATTATATTACTTTCTTTGGTTGGGTGGTACTTACTATTGCGCCACCTTTTCACTCCGTCACGCTGGTTTTATTTGCGAACAGTTTGATGACAAATTAACTGACAACCCAACTTTGTAACGAGAGAAATTAATCGTTATTAATTGTGATATTGATTAATATATTTCTATTATTGATTGTTTTCCAAATGTTGATAACTCTATTGAAACATTATTATCAATTAATCTGCTGCCACTAAAATATTGTCAAGCATTTCAGTATTTATTCAGGGAAAAATTAATGGTTTTTAGTTTTCATCAATTGTAAATTAGGTTCCTATATTTTATTTTATTTTAATAAATTATTTATAATTTGATTAATTAAATATATCAATCCTTGAAAGTTAAAATTATTAACGATTAATTAACTTTTTCAAAACAAAAACAGATATAAAAATTGATTTAATATATTGAACTGAAAAGGGAAAAAAATAAAATTTAATTTAATATGATATACACATTTTCCTTAGTATTTTATAAAAATAATTTAATATATAGAAATGTTTAGAAAACATAACTTAATTATATAGATTTTGAATTATAAAAAATTTGTAATTAATTTTAAAATTATATAATTCTTTGATAAAAAATAAACTTCATAATTTTATTTTTTTTAAAAAAATCAAGGATTATAATTTCTAAGGATTAATATATTTAATTAATCAAACTATAAATATTTGATTAAAGCAAAATTAACTACAGAGACTTAATTTATTGAGAAAAACTATAAGTCTTTGTAAATTAATTTTTTCTTTATTTAATTATCATCATATTCTTTAAATTTTATCCGAATAGTGTACTTCATCGTAAATACTTTCCACAACTAGCAGCCATAATATATTAGAAATCAGGTTACTTTATGTAAATAACAGTTAATGCAGCTTATAAATAAAACTTTTTTTTTTAATAAAAGCAAACACCCACCCACCCACTATACATTATTATTGATGATATCAATATCTTTCTATCCATTCATCGATGAACAATTTATATAAAAAAATACTCATGCTATTTATAAGATAAATGCACCATCTGTCAGGGTCGACGTAAGACACTGTGTGTGTGTGTGTGTGTGTGTGTGTGTGTGTATCACGCATATTAAAAAGGATTATTTTATTTTTAAATCTCATGAAAAGTTATGCGAGTGATTAAGTGAAGGACTTTGTCCAGATAAGTAGATAACCACTAGCCAAGTGGCCGAAAAAGAAAACGAGAAGAAGTAATTATTAACATGAATACACAGTAAATTGAAAGACATCCTCATTAGATTTGGGTCAATTCCTGGGTAAGGCATGGGATTTGAACTCTGAAGAATGGAACTTTTGCGAAAATATTATGATTATTGTAAAAAGCAGTCTTGAAAAATAAAAGGATCACATCGACAACGAATTTTAACCCCATATAGATTCAGGCAGCGAGGGGTGAACCAAAAACCAAACACCAAAGGAGGGAGAACTGTTTGTTAAACCAGCATACATAAATATTGCGCCGAATAGTTTCAAAAATAAATACTACTATCATGCAAGATAATTGAAAAATGTGACAATAATATCTGAATATATTACTCTCCCGATCTCAAATTTTAAAATATCTTTAAATAAAATTATGTAATAAAATTTATTAAATACACTTTATAATTTTATTTTTTTAAATGTGAAGTTATAAAAATATCTTTTATTTAATATTTTTTATAAAAAATATTAAAAAGAGAGAATATAATAGAAATAAATAATATTAAAAATATATCATTAATAAAATTTTATTTTTATTAAAATGTGTTATATTTTAAAATGTTAAATTTTTTAATAAAAATATTTTATAATTTGAAGTGGAGGAGTATTATTTTTTAAATCAAATGATATAATGATCACTTGGAGTTTTATCTTTCAGTATATTCATAATATATATATATATATACGCACATTGATAACTTGATTTAATTAAGAATTAGAGTGTTTAAAAAAAATTGTAAATAGTCACGTGGGACTAACAATCTGAAAGCAGCGGATCAACTGTTATTAATCCAAGAGACACAGCCATTGCGATTTCCCAGAATGTGAAGAGGAGAGAACCCAGTGGCCTGGTTTAACCCCTCAGGCCCTCACCGTCGTCGTAGTCCGGCTTTATCATGGGCGTGACCTCGACGGTGATCCAAACCCTCATCTTCTACCTCTCCGAGCACCCCTCCATTGTCGGCTTCCGTTGGAGCCCCGCCCAATCCTGGGGCTCCACCTGGCTCTTCCTCTTCTCCTCCATCGCCTCCTTCATCCTTCTCTCCCTCTTCCTCCACCTCTTCTTGCCTCTCTTCCTCCGCCCCGGCCGTCCCTTCCCTCTCGGTCCCCTCCCCGCCCTTCACAGCCTTCTAATGTCCCTCATCTCCGTCACTATTTTCGCCGGAATTTTCCTCTCCGCTGCTGCCGAGATCCGAGACACCCGCTGGTTCTGGCGCCGCTCTAAGACGCCCTTCCAATGGCTTCTCTGCTTCCCTCTGGGCACCCGACCCTCGGGTCGGGTTTTCTTCTGGTCATACGTCTACTATCTCTCCCGTTTCTTGCATATGGGGAGGATCATCTTCTGCATCCTACGACGTCGTAAGTTGGCTTTCTTCCAGCTGTTCAACCACTCCATCTCCACGTTCATGTCCTTCCTGTGGCTGGAGTTTTCGCAATCCTTTCAAGTCCTGGCGATTCTGTTCGCTACTCTGGTTTATTCGTTGGTGTACGGTTACCGATTCTGGACGGCCGTTGGGCTTCGCAGCGCCTGCTTCCCCTTCGTGCTCAATTGCCAAATTGTGCTGCTGGGTTGCAACTTGATCTCCCACGTCGGGGTGTTTCTGCTTCACTTCTACAAAGGAGGCTGCAACGGAATCGGCGCCTGGATCCTCAATTCGGTGCTGAATTGTGCTGTTCTGTTGCTGTTCCTCAACTTCTATGTGAGAATGTACCTGGGCAAAAGGGCGAAGATCGATCTTGTTGGCAGGATTCAATCCGAGCCCGAATCCACCTCTGTTTTGAGTGTAGGCGCAGGGAGAGGAGTGGAGGTGCCGAAATTGAAAGTCCGTTAGAGGATTGAGGCTAGGTCGGCGAACCTCTTGTGCAGCCTGCAGTGTTCGCGATTTTCTACACTTTCTTCTTTTTGTATAAACTATAAAGCAGGAATACATAATAACTATAATCGATTTAAGCACAAATCTTACTACGACACAAACGCCAACTTAGAATTTCTTTTTCTCACCGGTCGAGCTTCTCAAGATAAATTTCTGGAGCATACAAAATCATTCGATACTTTCGGTCTACTCGTTAACAATGGAGCCGCGAAACTTCAACTTTCAATCATTAAGGTGGTTGGCGCTAGCAGGTAGCGGTATGCTCTAACCCTACAACTTTCAATGGCAATTGGAGCAAGTTCCCTTCTGATCTAGAAAAGATGAAGTGATGCAATTCAAAATTGTTCTGTCATTTTCTTATACTGGATTTCATATATTGTGCAGGTGTCCACCACTAGCCAGAGTATTATTTCCTCGCATTGTGAAAGCTTTACCTTCAAACTTCAACCAACCTAAACCTATATTGTCATTAAAAAAGGATTTGCATTATTAGTGATGCTTACTATTTAAATACTGTCTTTTTTAATGTTCTATGCACCGCAGCGAGAATAAATTGTAGCTGATTGTTGATGAAGAAACCAGTGGTTGGTTGCTTCTGGCTGGTAGAGGATGTTTGGTTGAGCTGTGGAGGATCTTAGTTAATTCGAAGACGAATATGCCTTTGACGATTCACTGCTCATTCCAGAGGTTGGGGAATAAAAAGAAGGAAGATTATACAAATAAATTTTGGATGCTTTGCATTATTAAAAAAAAATTGAGGATAAAAAATTTGCACTGTTGACGGCTTCTTGCGACTTTGTAGTGCCTGTACACATCTATAGTTGATTGCTGGTAGTCATCGTCAAATAAGGTGGGGACGTGTGAGTTCAAACATGTGATAGTATGCACGCTTTTGAATGATCCATCACACAAATACTGACAAGGCCGTCATCACCAACTTGACAATGCAGCTGGTGCGTGAGATCCACTCTGCAATCTCTTCCCAGGATCAATAGGTAAAGGTTTTATCTTTTTAGCAAATCTGAAGTTTCGATCAACAAATTCACAGGCATTGCCCTGATACTAAACCTGGCAATTGTCGGCCAAAACACCCGGCAGAGTGACAGTTAAGCTCAAGACCGAAAAGAAAAAGCTGATATTTTAAGCTGCCTTTGGGAAGAAAACGTCAGTAACAGGAATCATGCGCTGATCGGCGTATGAGTTGAGCTTCTTTTCACAACCCATCAAGATAGGAAACGAGTCATGATCTGTAAAATGGCCATCAAGCCTATATCTATCACATTAAGTTAGAGCCCGTACGCCCAAAAGCAACTTGTCGTCTTGGATTTTGTTTTTGAACAAATGCATAAAAACCGAGAAACACAATTTATAAGCATTGATCGGCTGGTTTAAATTTTATTTTTATTCTTAAATATCAAATTTTAAAATATAAAATAGAAATGATTTTTTATTATCGATTCAAGGAAAATGAGACTTAACTCAAATTGAAAGAGACAACCGAAGAATAACATTATCCCGCCCGCCGAATTGCTCTGCAATGTTTTCATATGACATCGCTGAGCCAGGGGATGGGTCATGAGTGACATGAGGCTGTTTAAAATTATTTTTATTTTACTATTTGAGAATTGATATTTTAGAGAACATATTTTAAAAATAAAAAAATAAAAATGAGTATTTTTTTTACTCTTTCTCATTTTTTTTAAAAAAATTAAAACTCTTAAAATATATTTTTATCTTTTTATTTTTTAGAACAATATTTTGCTTTTTATTCTTTAACGTATTTTTAGAAAACATGTTACTAAATAATTTTTTTCAAGACAGAAAAATATTCTTAAGATAAGTTGCCTAACAAGTCCTTGATTGCCTCCTCCCATTAAAATCACAAAAGATTGCGCTCCTATGCTCTTACCTCTTCCTGTTTGGTTCAATTCCTCTCCTTTGGACAGATGCAATGCAATGTAATGAGATACAATGTAATTTTAATATTATTTTAGAATGGAAAGATAGTAATCATGTGCAAAGAAGGTTACCATCATTTTGTTAATGATTTGTAATGGTAATTATCATGAGTTCACATCAAAAGCTAACCATTCTCCTAATGGTAATGCAATATTGATTATAATTGGAGATGTGCAATGGCATTAAACCAAATGAGTCCAAAGAGACAAGCAAAGCGTGCTCCTCATGAATTTGGATTATCTAAATTTCTCATTTGAGAATCACACACATAAATAGTGTCATCTTGTTCTCATTTTTTTAATTTTTTTTATTTAACAGATTAAAAATTAAAAAAAAATAATTTTATTGTCCTTTTTTTAAAACGGATAATTTATTATTTAAAAATTATAAAGCAAAAACTTTAAGTTTGGATCCTCTCCATTAAATTTGAACTGTTCAAATTTCATCACAACATCATAGGCCTTGCAAGCATGAATAGAGTCGGGAATAAGAGGATCAGGTTTGAAAGTTCTATTTAAATAAGGGTTAATACTTGAAAAATAAAATTTTTTTAAGGTAATCGAGCTTCTAAATCTAACTTTGATAAACCCAGAAAAAAGCGACCCTCCAAGCTTTATTATATTTTTTTTCTCTTTTATCTTAGAATGCACCGTATGACAAATGAGAAAAAAAACCCTAAGCATTTGACCATTCTAAATTCTCTAGCTCTCTTTATCTCTCAACTCAATCTCTCCCTCTCCTTTCCTTTAGCTATGTCACCTCTCCTTATTGCCACTCTACTTATCCTGTAGCTCTCTCTATTTCTCAACTCACCTCTCCCTCTCATCTCTTGACTTAGGGTCTCTCAACTTGGTGCCTCTTTCTTGGTGTTCAATTGCTCTGACTTTTTGGCTCTTTTGTTCTTAAATAATTCCTCTCCGACATAAACCCTTTTTCAAGCCATGGATATCCAAAATTTCAATTTGATGTTGCTTTTAAGATTTCAATTTGATTTAAAAATTATAATTCCTCATCTTATTCTAAGGATTATATCGACATGTGTCATATATCTTATTTCTGGAACTTCATTGTGAATTCTAATGACATCAACTATCATGTATTTAGATTTTTGAATCTTTTGTTTATTTTCTAAATGATATGAGACCTTGATTTAATTTTTGTTGAATTTTAGAGTTAAATTATAATATCTAATAGTATGATGTTGAATTAAATTATTTTATAAAAAATAACATTAAATTATAATATTATTTTTAATTTTTTTAAATCAAGCTTTTGACCAAGCCCACCCATTTTTTATTCCTAAGCGTGAATGGTGCTATTTATCGGCATTTTTTTTAATGGTTGAATCACCCTAAAATTGAATGATGGCTGATGTTTTCCAATGTAAATTTTGTCCTAAAATTGGGCATGAGAGAGTTGTTAAGTTGACAAAATCCAATGTACTATTTTTTTTTTCATTCATTAGTATCCTCATTCCTTTTTTTATTTTACATCACGTGTATTATTTATAATTATAAATAAAAAATTGTTTAAATTTAAAAATAATAATCATTAGCTTTCAAAATACTAAATTAATGACAGTTAAATTTCTGACAAAATTTTATACTAAACTCAATTGCAAAAAAAAAAAAAATATAGATGTGGCATCCATGATTTAAAAAAAGGATAAATTGCTAATAAAGACTTCACCACATATTAATTTGCTCAGAAGGACTTAGGAGAAATTCTAATTTGAGGTCTTTTCACTGGCATTAATTCAAAATTCCAAATAACCAGATTGTCTTAACCAAATCTTCTCCACTCTCTTCTCCAATGCCCGTTGTGATCTTCAACGGCAACTTCTACTTGTTCATCAAGGTGCCATGTTTGACTTCTTCTTCTATTGGACTAAACGATTCTCCTCCTCCCCCTTCACTTCGGTTTGCTTAGCCTCAATCCACTTATCATTCTTCTATTTTTTTTCAAGCTCACAACCCTACTTTGCTTTCCTCACTGCCACTGCCATTTTGATTACAATTTTCCACAAAGACAATGAAAGGAGTGAAGAATGTTCAAACCCTATAGATTTTTCTACTCCTTGCTATGAGATTGAGTTTTTTGATCTAGCCCCGCGTCTTCTCTTCTCTACACCGCCACCACCCACCATTTCGCTCAATCCATATGCTTACTTCACTTTTTCATTTTCAAGCAAAAAAAAAAAAAAACTAAATGGTAAACAAGTTTTGATCCCCAGCTTTGAGTGTTTGAAATCTATAAGATTTGGACCGACTTTTTGCTATGTTCTTAAAAGTTGTCTTCTATAAATTTGAAGTTGCTTAGTCATTTGTCTAGATTTCACTTTATATTCCCTTTGTTATCTTTGTTTCTTTTGACCCTTGTTATTGAATCATCATTGTAATATCAGTTTGTGCTTTGTAGGGGACAAAAACATAATTAAATTTGAGGGAGACCGCAACTTTCCCCGTCCACAATTTTACTTTGATTCCAAGTGGTTGAATTTGTAGGCCTAAGTGGTAGTGTGTTCATCTCCTGAATTTTCAGACAGCAACAATATGATAAGAAAAGACAAAGAGATATATTATTAAAGAATGCATTCTTGTAATTTCACCCCTCCTGTATTTATCTGTAAATGAGCAAATATGGCTAGGGGTGCGCAAAATCTAATCAAAATCGAAAATCGAATCGAATCAAATTGAATTTTGTCTATTTGATTTGATTTATTTAATTTTTCGGTTTGATTTACTTTTTTTTAACGCAAATTTTGATTGATCGATTCGATTCGGTTTAAAAATTCTTCAACCAAATAAATTGAACTAATCAAATTATATATATATTTTTTTCTTTAATATTTTTAAAAATGTGAATAAATTTTTATCTAGGTGAATAAGAAATATCTTTCTACCACTTACAGTAGTAGTATTTTTTTTTGTTTAATGTGATATTCTAATTTTTTTATTTTTATAATTTAGTTTTTAATGTAATAGTACTGAGTTTTATTAATTTTCTCATGAATCATGGTATAAGATTGCTATTTTTTTATTGGGCCTTCAACGTCAAGGAAAAAATTGAATAGAAAAATATATAAACAATTAAACTCTATAGACCAAAATCAAAGCCTATGAATTGAATAAATTGTCGAATCAAACCATTATAATTTAATTTGGTTTTAATTTAGTTTGATCATGTACTTCAATTCGATTTTATCTAAATTTTTTATATAATTTGATTGATCGATTTTAAAGAAATTGGAACCGAATTGACCAAACCTACTGAATGCTCATCCCTAAATATGGCTTACGTTTGGCTCTCAAATTGATCACTTTCTTGCTCAATTACAAATCCAGGCAGTTAGAGTATAGGTTAGGATTCTTATATTTATTATATACTTTCTGCAAATGTATGTAGTTGGTGTCGAAATTGTATAAAAGATAACATTATTAGATGTAATTTGTTGCTTTGTGATTTATAAGATGTATAAAAGAGAATATTTATGATTACTGGTCTTCACTAAGTTGCAAGGGATCCCATTGAAGAAGATTATCCAATTAAAGCCAAAGAATAACTTGTTGGAGAGAAATCTAAAGGCTTTAAAGAATGAACACTACCTTACTTATGTATTATCTTGCTGCAATGTAATTATCATGTATCATCTTATATTTATTATGTAGTTGTAATGTAATTATGTTGTCAAGAGATGTAAGAACATATTATTGTTTAATAATAAATGGATTCGTTGGTGTTCAATCATTTTTGTTCATGCTTTAAATTAGTGATTAAAATTTACATATAACAATAGTTATCATTGGTGTTCTCTTGAAAGATTTCAAAAATTTTCAAAATTTTTATTTGCATTTTTAGAACATCAATTTTCATATTAGATGGTAACTTATGTTTTGTTTTGATGTTTTGAGAGTTGAAACTAATAAATTGTAATTGTTGCAAAATCCATATAAGATGTAAAAGCCTATGTTAATTCAATTTATATAAACTTATTTATCAATTTGTAGCGTGTATTTCTCTCTAATATTTTTCTATGCTTAATCTTTTAGAATAGTTATAGGTGTTTTTATCAAAAAAGAGAAAATTTTAAATATAATCATTTGTGTTTTCATGAAAAAAGAGAAAATTTTTAGAATAATCATTTATGTTTTCAAAATATTCGTAAATATTTTTATAAAATATGAGTAAATTTTTAAAATAACTATTTTTTAAAAGATGATCATTTTTCAGTGAAGATGCCTGTATATAAGAGAAGACAAATTGCATACCCTTGCTATTTTATATAATCATAAGAAAATGGACCTGTTAAAAAGATTCACTATATATGATGACAGATTGCTTGTATATATGGAAGACTTGTGTACATAAACGGGGCCTACTATATCAGAGAAAGATTTCTTGCTTATGCATGGTCACTTTTTGTTCGTTGGAAGATAATTGCATTTCATTAAAAATGCTCGTATATAAAAAAAACCATTTGCATATCCTTCATGTCATATTCACCCATATGTTATTATGCGAGTCTGATTTAACGCAAGATAAGAACCAACTTTCAAAAACTTAGCCAAGTCATTATTAGCAAATAAAATCTGGTAAGGCTTTTTGAAGCAGTTAAAAAATGGATATTAAAAATAATAAGTGTGGGACTATAATTAAATTAGTAAAATTTATTTACATGGGTAAAAATATTTGTTATATAAATTCTCAGTTGTTGATATTAAAAATTTAGACAATGCTAAAAAAATAAGAAGATTATTATATTTTGAAAAATCATGTAGAATTTATAGTAAAAATTGATAGTAGATGTAAGATTTTTATTAAAAAATAATAGGCGTTAGATATGCAATAAAATTATGAATTTTACTTAGACAAAATATGAAAATTAATTTACTCAAAAAAATACAAATTAAATTAATTTACTGAAAATAATATATTATAAATAAAATAATTTTTTGCTTTTAATTTTATGTATGAGATTATAAATTGTAGGATAAAATATAAAGTCAAGTGACAAATTATAAAATAAAATATTTTATTTTTTATATTTAAATTTTAACTATGTGGGGATAGCAAACTTCTTGGAATAATAAATTATTCTTTGTATTTTAAAACATATAGAGTAACAAATTTTATAAGCCATTTGTGTAAAACAATATGTTGTTACCAAAAACATAAAATGGTTTTTTGTATATATTTTTTATATAGATGAGTTTTTTAAAAAAAGAAAGTTGTGTTTATAAAATAAAATTATATTTTTAAATAAAAAATTTATAAAATAAACATGTCTAAATTTAAATTTATATGGAGATAATAGAGTTTAGATAAAACAAATTAAAGTATATTTATTATTAGCACAACGTAACGAATCATAAAATAATTTGTTTGAGAATAAAACAAGTTTTTATTCATACAATCATACTTTTCAAAAGCATAAGGTAGAAAATCTATAATTCTATTATTTATTTGTAAAATTAAATTGTGCTTTGAACATGTATGAAATGAAACACATTTATGTAATTATTTGCTTCAAGTCAATTATATAATATTAATGAATTTATCTTCCATTTCATATCTACTCTTTTTTTAATCATTGTATTACTTGCAATACATGTACATATAGTTTTTTTTTTTTGGCCAAATATATACATACATATGGTTGACAAGTAGTATTATAACGTGGAAAATTTATTTGCTTAATTTTTGACCATTATAGTTATGATTTATAAATAACATTATAACATAAATTTTAGGATGATTCATTATAATACATGTTTAATTTTTTTTAAGGTGATACATGTGCCAACAATTTTTTTTAAAAGCAAGATTATATTTCAAATTGAAGTAGGTAAGAAATTTTCAAAAAAATATTGATATCTTTTATTTATATATATATATATATATATGTATGTATGTAAAAGTAGTACAATGCAAAATAGAAGATATTTTTTAAATTTAATTCTTACCTAGCAATATATTTTACATTAAGTACACTAAAATAATTTTTTAATATTAATATTAATATTTGTTTTTATTTTTTAATATTAAAATATTCTCGTGCATCGTATGATGCATAAATATAGTGAATGATAAATAACAATTTAAATTATTAGTAATAAAAATTTCTGTTGTAATCTAATAGTTACATTTGATACTTAAACATTTATTTGTAATTAATGCTATATTTGGATGGTAAGAAAATATAAGAGGAAAAAAACATAAAGAATAAGTATGAGAAAAAACAACTTTTTTTCTATTTAAATGAGGAAAAAAAAAGTTGAAAGAAGGAAAAGCGAGAGAGAAAACGAGGTGTGAAATCCAATATATTTTCTTTCCAATTTTTTTTCCATAAATGAAGAGATTTTAGGAGAAAAATGTTTATTTTGTGTTTACCCTCCTTGCATATTATTTGACACAGAAGCCTTAGCTTCATCATCTTCTATTGTTCATTATTCACCTCAATCTCTCAGTGCTCTAACTCAGGAGTCTTTGCCTTAAAAATTAGCAACCTCACATTGCTCTTTCATAGTGCTTTACTTGTCTCCATCTTCTCTGCAAACTACACATATTTTTGTAAATATGTGCCTTTCATACTTTTTATGATATTTTGTATATATAATTTATTTTTATGTGCTGGTCCAACATGCTGGCTTCCAAGTCAAACTATTTTGATGATGTTAATTTTTATATAATTTTTACTTTCAATATATTTTTATAAAGATGATTACATTAAAAACACACAAGGGTATTATAATCCCTGTGATATTTGCTCATTTTCATTCCTCCTCATTTTTTTCAATTCATCCAAACATAAATCTTTTTAATTTTTTTCTCCTCTCATTTTCTTTTTACTCAACTTTTCTTCTTATCCAAACAGGATAAAACTTCTAGATTTATATTTTTTTGGATAAATATTGTCAACTAATTTTTCAAAAAATGATTGTTAGAAACTTAATTATAATTAATTCAGAACCTAACTCTCATCCTTTCTCAAATTTAATATAGGGTAAGAAATCAAAAACATAAGCACTGTTTACCAATAGTTTAGCAGTTCTTTTAATCATATATAGGGCATAAATTATAATTCGCATCATATAACACTGTTCTTAAAAACGGGAAACTCTGCATCTGTTGTACAAAAAGCCGCACCTAATTCTAAATCAATTCAAGCATAACTTCATTGGTGAGATATCGAGAAATGGATGCTTTCTGTATACAGACTGACACCCCCCCCTTTTAGAAATGAAGGTATTTTTTGAAGAACACGTAACACTCTAATATTTTTATTAAAATAATTTTATTTTTAAAATTATTTAAACATAATATTTTTGTTCTTCCTGTTAAATTTTTTATGAAGAATGATAGAGAAGTTTAAGAGGATAAATTAATTTAAATTAGGTTACAAGTATCAAATTTTAAGAATTTACAACTCAATTTTTCAATTTTTCAATTTTATTATGATAAATTTGCAAATTTTAATAGAAAAAATAATTTTTTTATTCTTCAATCATGTTAAAATTTAAAAAATAAATTATAAATTCATCATAATACAGTTATAAAATTAAGATGTTGAATTGCGAATTTTTAAAATTTAACATTTAAAATTTAATTTAAATTAATTGATTATTTTAAAATTTTTTTATTATTATCTCAATTTTTTATCAGTTAACATTTGAGGTCGATATAAAAATTTAACAGAAAAGGTAAAATTATTTCAATAAAAATATTAAAATGCTAGATGTTTTTCAAAAAATATTTTAAAAGCAAAAATACATATTTATTTATTTATTTTGGAGGACGGGGTGCCTTTTGTTATAGTTTTAGAGTCAGTAAAATCAAAGTGCTGAGGAATATCCAGTCCAGATCAATGAGGACAAGACTTGTTGGAGAAGAGAGAAGGGTGAGATAATGAGTGAGGAGAGCAAGCAGCCGTGAGGTCATGATACCTTGCCATGTCAAAATTGCGAAGCTTCATGAGGCGCTTCTGCCTGGCGATGAATCGGCTTTTGTAGTAACCTTCAAAAGAAGGCTCTTTGGAGGTACGGAGGAAGAAGGCGTAGCCACCCATGAAGTAGATGGAGGTCACAAAAAAGCAGATTGGTTCCATCACATCCCAAGAAAGCTCCCAAAATGTGAGCCTCATGAATGCCGCTGTTTGCAGCACCAGGAAGATCAGCCCGCCCCATAGCTCCAGCCGAGCCAACCTGTCTGCCTTTTCGTCGATCACCGCCTTCTCTTTCTCCATTTCTTCAAGTTCTTTCATTGCTGGCTCCTGTGCCTCATTGGCTCCAGGAACGGGAAACAGACTTAGAACTACTTTTGCTACCTGTACCACAAAAGTTCACACAGTTTGGGTGAACTGAAACAATTCTACTTCTGTATTTGCTTTTTTGCCTGTAGGAAATATGAATCTGCAGACTTCGCTTAAATTCTAAACTTTGAACGTACTAATTTGTAACCCAAAGGAAGGTGGGAGAATAAAAATCCGTTCGTGTCTGTGAAACCATTAAACAACTTGACTCGGAACAGAGCACACGTGCTTACTTCAATAGGATAAGAAGAACGGATGAGACACCATCCATATTTAAGCAGTCTACTAAACCCTATCCTCGCGAAGGATTTTGATCATGTGAAATTTTCATTTCTCAAGTTTTCTGATGTTCTTTAGTTTTGTACCTTCTTTCCCTTCCCTTCTCTCTTAATTCAACTCACCTTTTATTAATCTTCTATGCTCCATCCCATTAATTTCAACTAGTTCCCCAAGAACCAAATCGAGAGAATCCCAACTCCAGGGTGAAAGGCCGAAATTTCCCACCAAGTCCTTGTGAGCTATCAAGATTTTTTTTTGGCCAAATGAGCTAGCATGAATTAGTATTAGGTTAGTAAGAGTACTACCCTGACCAGTGTCAACTCATGTCCAAATCCTATCTCACCAGAAATCGGTTGTGTTCTCTCTCTAAACTTAAATTGATCTGATCTGTCAACTGTTGTTTTTTGTCTCGAAAGAAACCAAATGTTAACAATAAGCTTGTGTCAGCTAATGTCAATTACGGTTTTTCTCTCAAATAAAACTAAATTTTTTCGGAGTTCATCCCAAAAGAGCAGATCATTTGGTAAAGCGAATGAATCTGTCTGAACGAGGAAAGCTGAAGGGCTTTTGCGGTCCTTCAAGAGTTCTAATTTACCATCTCAAACGTGGAACCTTCACACGTTTTAGATCTGGCGAAACAACAAAGTTTCAACTTCCTGTGGAAAAAACAAAAGAAATGATCATAAAAGTTTATCAGTTTTCGGTACTCTCCAAATAAACGGGAGAAAATTGTGTAGTGAAATGTCGTGATTTGAGAAAAAAGTGAAAACCTATCTTCGATGTTCACCAGGACCCCGTACAGAAACCCCAAAAGGACAAAGAAAATAGATAAAAGAACGAAACAGATTAACCATAAGAGAGGAGAGAAAAACAAAAGAGGGATATGGGTATGAACCTGTTCAGGCCTGAGAAAAACAAAATCTCCCAATATAACCACAGAAGCAGAATCATCAAGCATCTTGGCAACCCGCGTCGCTTGATCCCGGTCGGAATAGCATTCTTCGCATATCCGAAGAAACTCTGGATAGTGAATGCAGCTATTTTGGACGCTCCTCAGCCTCAACCTGACCAATTCCAGCTGCGCCACCTTGATCAATTTTCTCGCATTCTCCGCTGTCACGGGTTGCGTGGAATCCAATCCATCTAATCGAATTCGAGTTCTGGCAATGTCTAAGTCCTTGAGCTTGTGAAGGTGATGTTGGCCGATGACGGGGGAGAAGGTCGGTTCGACCGGTTGTGTAGGAATCGGCGGAAGACGGCATTGTCTCCGGGATCCGGAGCAATAGGAGTGGCTGCGATGGGAGGCAGGGGAGCCAGGGCAGAGGAAGAGGATATGCGACAATTGGTGAGTGATTGGGAGGAAATTTTAGTAACATCGAGAAGGCGTAGAGCAAAGGCCCTCCTGAACGCCATGTATGCTGGATACGGGGAAAGAGACGAGAATGATTTGGAGGATTCGGTCACAGGTAGAGCTTGAAGAGAAGAACGTCACTGGCCCCTCAATATATAGGCCTTTAGGTGTCCCACGATAATGGAGGGTATTAATTATTTTACCATTTTGATTGTTATAATTAATATATTATACGAGGGACATGTCATATTATTTATAGTTTATTTAATAATAAAAATATAATATTTAAATAATATTAAATATAAATTAATTTTAATATTAATAATAATGAAGGGAAAAAAACAAAAAATTAAATGTATATTTTACTATAAAAATAAAATTAATTAATAAAATAGCATATGAGATTTTATTTAAATTATTTAAAATATTTTAATTAAATAGATTAGAAGATCTACTTAAGTATTTCTTCAACCCAAATACCATATCCCATGTACTTAGCAATTTCTCTATATTATACAACTCGTATGTGGGAAAAAGAGATAAGAGTGCTGATGTGGACCACACGCATCCCTGCTTATAAAAAGCGACGGAGGAGGATTGAACGTAGGAAAAAAAAAAAAAAAAAAAATCCACTGCCGTCTGTCGTACGTGGAGGGAGGAGATTAAAAGAGTGGGTGCATATGAACTGTTGAGGATGCGAGGGCAGAGGGGTTCACTATAAATATAACAGGCCTGGTTGCACCAGAACTCAAAATGCAAGAAAAATACACAACGGGACAGCTTCTCTTCAGGAGGATCGTTGTAAATTTGCAATGCAATGATGATGGATCATTAGATTACATTTAATATTTCTGATTTATTAGTTTTTAAAATTGTAAATCAATCTGTATTGTTAAATTTTAATTTAAAAAGGATTTAGAATTGTAGGAAAGAGACAGCGGATTGGGTCTGGGACGCACCATACTTTGCATATGATAACCCAGTCCTCCCAAGTTAAATAATTCCCCAGGTTTAATTAAATTTCACCCGACACTATGGGAGGCAATAATAAAATGAAATTATAAAAGTTAAAATGGCGAGTGTCGAAAGTAATATGGAATGATCATGGGCCGTTTGGCCGAAAACAACAAAAAGCTCATGGGCCGGGATTAATAAAATCTGAAAGAACATAGAAAATAGTGCCACAAGACATGTGCAAGGGGAATATCGACGCCTGGATATCACGCAGACCACTCTTGGAAGGTGGAAGGTAGCATTATTTGTTGGAAGCTTTGGGAAGTCAGGAACCAACATATTTTTACTGATGCAGCAGCCTTCAATGTGAATACCCCCCCCTTTTTTTTATAGATATTAGAGCTTTAGTTACTCATGCTCTTAAAGTTTTCTCTACTTTAAAACCTGATGTAATTTGCTGTTCCCCCCTTGTAACTCCTGTACAGTTTTGTCATACAATCACTCTTTTCACTCAAAAATAAAATCAAATCTGAACGAATTAAGGTAGAGCTAGCAAAATGCATGCATGAAGGGGGTGAAATGAAACGAAGTGAAGACAGCGATAACGTTGGGGGGCCTCTGGGCTTTTATGAAATGGCATATTTAATTAGCGCCAGCGCTGGTTTTGTCGCTTTGTCAAAGAAGTCGAAATATCGTACGAATAAATCAGATATCGTGTATATTCAAATAATGGGCGCCACCCATCGTGTTGCTCCGTTATATGCTGTTCCCCCTCTCATCTCTCCTTGCATGTATACTCATATTTTTAAATTTGTGGACCTTGTCGCTCTTGCTTTGTGTAGCATCTATTCCATTCTCCTTCTTCTTAAATGGTGATCAGGATTTGCCATGAATTGTCGCCATCAGATCAGTTTTCCTGAAGATCGATCTTTTCTTATTTGCCATGAATCATGAATTCGGATTTGTCTTTTGTTCCTTCGTTTCATGCTACATATAAAACTTGAAACGCATGAATTACAAGGTCTCATATCTAGTTGATTAACTCTCCTTAAATCTAATTAACGTCGTCAGATTATGGACTGTAATGTAAACACCTTTTACTGAACTCGTTAAGAGGATGAAAAGGGAACCCGATTGACAAGAATATTCTGGAACTTCATCTTATCCTTGCCATTTGTATTCCTGCAACTCCCACTTTCATTACATGTATTTAAAACGGTGTCCCCTTTTAATTTTGGTCCAGAGTCCAGATCATACAAAGACGCCCTGTTTTCCTCTCTTATATATCCATCATGGGATCAAATTTCACATGTGTAATTTGTTCCCTTGAAATAAGGATGGCAAAAGGGTTCGGTGTTGTAATAATATTGAATGATCAGCTGCCCTGATATGGACTTGGATAAGCTTAGAGGTGGTCCTACCAGGTGCAGCGTTGGGACGGTGTACGTGTAAAACTGAAACATTAGTTTCATAAGACGTGCATGATTAATGCTATGGTTCTGTATCTGTTCATGACAGTTACTGGAAACTGATCCTTACCTTTCAAGGAAATTAATCCACACCCCCCCCCCTCAAATGTGCGTCCGTCTTCTCCATCTCCCTCCACATTTCCGAAATGCCCAAGCATGCATCGCCTTCAAACGCTTCAATCTAACTTCAATTTTTAATTATATAATATCATTCTGGTGAAATCATATACATAAAAGCGAGCGCGCGCGGTGTGCTGCCATGAAAAAAAGTTAAAGGATATGCCTACCGTGATGTATGCCCGATCGAGTAACGGCTTCAAATCCGAAACGAGTATAATAGAGTAGAGGGTAGTCTCAATTATTGTTGCTTTTTTGAGCTCAGTTATTGGTTCCTTTATTCGTGTATTTGCGTTGGATTGGATAAGCAGAAAGTGTTAAATAGTTTGGAGAGTGCTTCTTGTATTGATACAAGTAGGATCGGAATGAAGGGGGTGGGTTTCTTCCTTCTGCTTTTTTTTTTCTACTACCTTTTCATTACAAATTTAAACCATTTAAATTAAATCTATATTTTTTTAAATTATGAAATTTAATTTAACAATCAAATTTGTATTGATTTTTCCTTTTTTCTTCTTTGTAAAGAAGAAAATCTAATTCCGAAATAAAGGTTAGGTGGTACCTCTTTCTCTTTGAATTTAGAGCCTTAATATTTATTGTAAACTCAACGTTGATTTTTATACCTCACTTGTGGCTACAGCATGCTCCCTCTTCTAGATCACAATATAAAATATTTTTTAAAAATTTTATTTATTTTAAAATATAAAACATGAGATAACTTTTATATTTATTTTTTTAATTATACCCTCACTTTATTTATTATTCTTTTTAAAAAAATCATGCATTAAAATTTTAATTATTATTAAGCTCTTGTAGAGTGTATTTAATGATGGTATAAGTGAAAAGATGTGAACATTTTTAAGAATTTAAATTTTTAACTAACGTTATTCATAAATCATGAATTAATTAATTAGAACTTATATTCTAATGCAGAGTGTGTATTCTTTTATATTATGTTGTCCTCCCAAATTCCCATCTTCATTTATATTCGCGTTTTTTGGTTCTTTCCACCCATCAGAAATTTAGAATTAATGGAGCACACTCGCGATCAAAAAGAGAGATGCATGACAAAACAACTCATGCTTCTGAAAGATTAAGAAATGGCTCTTTGAATCATTGGACGTACTCTGATTTTCTAAAATTCGATTCACCTTAAGTTTGGTTTTAAATGATAATCCACTCTCCCGTATCGCATCTCGTTTTTCTCTGATTATGATCCTCTTCCTCCTCAATTTTCACGAACTCCTATTCTTTCAAATCTTCTCTTACATTAATTTGAAGGCTCGTGGCTGGGAAGCATACGTGGGAAATGCTGGTGAGTGTAGTGTTATGTGAAGGCTTGGCTCGGGGGATTTTTTGATGGACTGTGTTTGGCATGGCGTGTTATTATTGAATCTCACGGCTTGGTTGCTGTGATTATATGATCGCCGAGGAAAAGAGTGCACCTAATGCTCAGCTTGGAATGGAAAATTATGTTTTGTTTTTCGTTCTTTTTAAAATGGAGCAAGCATGTCGAATAACATGTCTCAATTCCTTCAAACAAATTGCATGAATAGGATCACTCGTCAATTCCTCGGTCTCAAATGAATCACTACTCCATTATATTGCTTGCTAAAATTAGGTGTGAAATGGTAACATCAAGAATACATCCTTTTTAATACCATTCAGGTAGCAAAATAAATCAAAGAGGGATAAATTCTTCTTGCAAAAGTCCCTTTTTTTTGGCAAACCTTATGTTAAGCAGGTTGGTGGTTCTATATATAAATATATATTTCAAATACTGTGATCCTATCTTATATTTTTAGTTTATACCATGACAATTTTTTTAAAAATTAATTTCATTTTGTTGTTATTGGAATTTTTTTTTTTACAATATTTTGATGAAAATCATTATTCGTCTCACAGTAACTTCCCCTTCAATTTTTTCCCATGTCTTTTTAAAAAATATAGAGAATAAATTCTGGTCAAGTTCAAATCCTTTCTTTGACGTTTTTTGGACAGACACCCAAGAAGTTAGTTGCTACTGCGCCCCAATTTAAGCTTCCATTGTCATCGCCTCTCGCCATCTGGGCACTGTGAGGCCAAAAAGGTATGAAGAAATGAAGACCTAAACGCTGAATTGAGAAATCTTCATTGGAAAGTAGAGTTCCACTATGCGCCCCGCAAGCAGAACATGGTGGCTGATTATCTTGCCTGAGTACGATTCAGAAGATCTATGCTTTATAACGTGGCTCCTCCTGTTTTGAGGAATCTAGTTCATAACGAGTGTTTCGGATTGCAATCCCAACTTAGTCCTTTTTTTTTTTTTTTTGGTATCACCTTCTTCTGTATCAAAAACATAGAAGCCGAAATATGGGTATTTTGTGTATATTAAATGAGGAGCATCTTAGATTCATTCCCCATCTTGACGGACCCAAAAATTTTAGAATGTTAAGGCAACATATATATATTTACATATGTTTTGTGGGAGCTTAGAACTAATAATGTTAAATTTTAAAATTATTGATATGCATTATGCATATGCACTTGAACAAAATGATTTTTTTTTTTTTTGTAGGGGCACTTGCCCCCTCATTAGTGTGCTTAGGTACGTGGCATCTACAAATACAGAGCAAAATAGGTTGTACAAGTTAACACGTTTCATGTTCGTGATCCGTAAGAGCTGTGTTCAATGTGTTGATGAAAGTGTTCGTGAGCACCATTTTCATGAACCCACAAGCTCTTGACGTCCAATAGGTTCTACAAAAGTGTACCTCGTGGTAAATCTCCCTATCTGCAACCTCGTGAGAGTTCTTTTTAATGTTGCTTTTGTGAAGAAAAGAATGTAGAAAGGATATCAATTAGGTCTTAAAATAGAGTTAATGATAGTTAAGTTGTCGATAAATTTTTTTAAAAAGTAAATTAAAAATATCAATATAAAAAATTATAAATCCAAAAATTTCAATTGAAATTAAATATTTAAATATTAAATGTAACGTTTATATTATAATAAAAAATTTTATTTATAATTGTTTGAATTGATATTTATAATTTAATTTTTAAAAAAAATCAGTGTCATTAATTCAATATGTTGAGATTTAGCTGTCATTCTCAATCATTGCCGCTTTATGATAGACAGATATAATAAGGTCCTCATTAGGGCTGTGCAATAGTCTTCCAATCTTGTCTGGTCCAGTCCAACTCTAGATGATTTCAGTCTTATTCGGTCCGTATAGACACTGATCTTTCAGAACTAAAAAGACTGAAAAGACCAGACTATTTCTTCGGGTTAGACAAGACAAGAGACTAGGCATCCTAACCACTTGGTTCAGTCTAGTCCTATTAATTTTTTTATTATAATTATAATTAACTTATTTTTGACAAATGTTTGAAGTGTAATTAATACTAAAGGGATGATTGTATGAAGATTTGCTGAGTTTGTTTCTAAATTATTGTTATAATGTAGTGTTGTTAAATTTTATTGAGTATTGTTTTTGTTAAAGTTATAAATTTAAATCATTTGAACTATAACAAAAATATTTTTTTCTTATTGTTAGAAATTATTATGGATTTATTATTATTGTAAGTATTTTTACTATCTTAATTGAGTTTATTATATTGAAATGGATTATTGCCTCTCATAGAATAAAAAAGGGGAAAAAAAAAAGCTAAGTGAGTACTGAACTGATAAAATCAATCTCCCAGTCTTATGGACCACATTCGATCTTGTTAATATTCAAGTTATCACTGGACAAAATCAGAATGTGAGTTGCCTAACCTAGTCATTTTCATGAAAGAGACTGAACTTCAGGTTATGATGAAATTCAATGCCATCATGTTTTTTGTGCAGCCCCAGTCCCCATGAGGCCGAAGTCGTCCAGCAAATGAAAACCAGAGTCTCCTTCAATAATCGATTGCTAGCCCTTGTCATCACGTAGCTATCCGGGATAAAAATAACCACTATTCAAGCAATTTAGGAAATAAAACAAAATTCCAATCCCCAAAGCAAAACCTTGATAGAAAAAAACTCAGCTAATCAAATAATCTGTAGCGTCCTGATCACAAATTCCCACAACCATGAAGGATTCACAATGAGAGTTCTGCATGTGAGGTGAGGATCACTCTTTTTCAGTGAAATAAATGAAAATCCCCATGACTTTTCTATCAATGTTTTCGCAGGTAGCCTCTACTTTTTCTGGGAGGGAGGGATTGTGGGCAGAGGGTCGAAACCAATAGTGATTTAGGGTCTACCAGCCCAGACAGGTAATTGGATACTTTTGACAAGTAAAGCTGCAAAAATAACAATCATCATCAAGCACAAAATAACGGGAAGCTCCTAAACCGCAAATATTGTGATTACAAGTGTATATATATATATTCTCAAAAGATCCATACATACTGTCAAGTATAGAAATGATATGCACAAGTACCATCCCCGTATTTCCTTTTCAAGCACCTCAATTTATAATCCGGGTGTTTAATCAGCAAGTCTAAAATGGTCCAAAATAAAAGGCTAACAATAAAAAGCCATCAATAAACTCAGCTAAGAACTCTCAACTTGGAGGTTTTATTATCTTCTGTATAACCACCGTCCTCGCTTTTCTTATCTCCCGACTACATCTATCAGCATGCTCACTCAAAGTATCAATACTATCGGAAAAAAGTTCCATCTGCTTCTTGATCTCATCTATTGCAGGATCTACAGCATCCTCATCCTTGAGAGCAAAATCAGCATTATGCAACAGTGATTTAATCTTTATTTCCAAGTTGTTGACAAGAGACCGAATGCTATCCAAGTCCTGCAATGTGATATAGGTACGGAACTCCATTGAGCTGAGCACTTCCCTTTGGCTTTGCAGAGCTTTTTCATATCCCTGGAATAGTGAATTACACCATTTTCCTACTGAGCCTATCGGAACAGCCAATGCACCAACCAAAGCTGTTACAATAGGAGGTGCAGCAATAGCAACTGCCACCACCGAGAAAATCAACACAGAAACGAATGCAGTCAAAAAAATAGCATTTGACACCCTCCTCCATGTCTTGAGGGATTTCAGTTTCTTATCAAGTTTTCTCTTCCTGGATTGCAGTTTCTCCAACATTGATACCTGCTTAGCATAAACCGATTGAAACATCGAGTAAAATTCTTCCGTGAAGGGGTCTCCAGCGTCATTAAATTTCTTCAGCAGCTGCAATGTCTTTATATACCTCACCCCTTCCACCCCATTTTCGATCTCTTGCTCAAAATTGTTGAGTGCTAACTTAATTGTTACCTGGTTTTCACGTGCCCGTCTCAAGCAATTATTAAGTTCATTACAGAAATCCAATGTCTGAAGGCTATTTTCAAAAAATTCGTCAACCAAGGAGGAAAGGCCTTCGTTCTTCAATATATCGTTCTTGCATGCCAGAAAGATTCTGACTACTTCCTCGTGATTTTCTAACAGAGCATCAGTCACTTCTCTCAGAGAATCAAAAGATAACGAGCGAACCTGAACCCCATTGGCAAGAGAGTTGATCACCCTATTTGTGCGCTCTTGAATGGTGGCGTCGAAGGATTGCAAGTTCGGGTCGGCCATACATGCAGTTTCGTACGAGTGCAAATCAGCCGCGAAGTGGGAATTGGTGCCCATTCTGATAGGTAAAGGAACATCAGCTTTACTCGTCTTACTGGATTGCCCTCCCATCATGACGATTTTGGTGATAATTGGGAGCTGCGAAGCACAAAAAGATAACGCCCAACTTGTAAGGTATAATCTAGAAAGGGATGCGCAAATGTAAAACTCGGATTCACATTTTCCTCTCTCTTCCTCAAAATAGACTCGAATTTCAGTAATTTTTCATCTCTCTTCCTCAAAGCAACTAAGAATAGACCCGAATTTCAGGAAATACGTCCCCAAAATATGAACTTTTCAAGAATGGAAAAGACTCGGATCTGTGAGAAGCTTGTGAAATAAGTAGATAATTTGACTTGGGGTAGATCTAAGGAACCGATCGAAAGGCAATGTGATACTTCACTAGGGGAGAAGAAACGGGCACAGACCAATATAAAGTGAAACAGCCCAAATCAAAAGGTATAATTACCTGGAATGAAGATTAAGATGAAATATCAGGATAAACTGAAAGGCGTGAATTGAAGTAAAACAGCGGTAGCGAGGGCAAGTAGCTGGTTTGGTGGGAATCCGAGATGAACAAAATCCCCGATTACGAACAAATCATGGAAATCGATGACTTGTTGCTGAAGTCCAAGCAACCGATTTGGAAGCCGACGCTGAGGTACGGAGTCGGAGGGAGAGTTTTTCCCAATAATAGCGTCGAGCGGACGCCAAGCCGCGAAAGTTCGAGGAAGGAAGAAGGGAGAAGGAAAATGGGAGAAAATGTTTAGTCGTTGACTGACGCCCGCTTGTTTGTTTGTTTCTTTGTTTTCCCCCTGCTGCTCCCCTTAATTTCGATTATTTCCATGTAATCAAATAAAGTTGGTTGGACTTGGAGCCATTTTGTCATTGTGGGCATTATTATTATAATTAATATATATATATATATATATATATATATATAAAGCAATCGCTTTTTAATATATAGGCCATGACGACACCCCATGAAATTAATAGCAAACTATAGTTCGATCTCACACGTATGATGCCAAGTCATGAGTTCAACTAAGACAAATGAAAGTTCTATGAAGTCGATTACTCTATCCATTTGAATAAGATTTTCATCACCTTCCTCTTTGAGAGTTTTTCGGAGACTCAGCCAAGTATCCACGTTGCCTGGTCCTCGAAACTCATAAGCCAGGGGCGAATAGGGTTTGGGCCTTCGGGGCTTTACTTTTCCAGTCGCAAAAAATATTTTGATGACATTTGATTCAATGTATTATTATTATTATTATTATTATTATTATTATTATTATTATTATTATTATTATTATTATCTAACAAGTAATAATATTTATCACTATAAACTAAGTACTTAAAAATTATTTTTTCCTTTCATCTTTTAAATTTTTTGTATCAAAGGTATTGAACAGTGATGTAAGATTTTCTAAAGTCTAAAAATCTTCTAAAAGAACATTTTAAATAAACTCCATCTATTGTATTTTTTTTAAGTTAACGAATGTTTAAAAATATAAAATATTTTTAATTATTTTGAGTATAATTATTATTTTTTTAAAAAAAATATTCTTATTAAATAAATAATTTTATATTTATTTTAGAATGAAATATTTTATTAAATAAAAATAAATATAAAAAAATAGAATTATTTTAAAAAAATAATTATTTTATTAAAAATAAAATTTAATTAAAAATATTTTATATTTTTTAATGGTGAGAACATATAACGTTCCAAAATGTGAGTGTGTAGTTTGAATGTTCTAACAAACAGTTCAATATTAAATCTTAATAATGAATCCGAACTGCCAACTGAGCCCGTTATAGTACGGTGGTAAGTATTCCGGCTTGTCAAGCTGGCGACCCAGGTTCGATTCTCGGAACAGCAATCAAAACTTTGGCCCCACAACATTCTAGTAATTTCTTTTGTTCACGTATGGTTTTCAAGTTTTTGGGAGAAAAGCAGATCACTGAAGAGAAGAAACAGACCTCACGATATTCTGATGTGTAAAGAATGCATTAAATTTGTCTGAGGAATCGTGTAAGCCTCACAATGAAGGAGCCATTAAACTGTCATCAACAAAAATCCTTGAATCGCAACAAAATGAGGATCATTCCTTTCAATCAGCTTCCAAAACCACGGATATATTGAGAAAAGTGGAAAGAGGAAACACAACTCAATAGAAGAAACAAACTCTTTATGTCATCTCGGACTCTTTCACAACGGTGAGCATTCTAACTCTCTCACGGTCTCGCTTAAAAATATAATATAACGGCGTGTAACACAAACAGCACAATCCAAATGGAACAGCCATCATGGAAAGAAGGCCCTTGGACAATGCAAGAGCCTCCGGAGCAGATCCTTTAGCAAAATCAACAGACTTAGAGTCGTACCCAAACAACTTCTCAGAAAGAATGCCCACCAAGGGAGCTGCAACTGAAGAAAATGATCCCTCAAAAGCACGATCAAATGCATAGATCATGGTCCGGTGTTTAACAGGGACCACTTCTGCAAACATTGGAGCATTGGCAGCTGTAGCGTTCCAGCTTATACATAGACCCATTATCAAGAGAGTGATGGCAAAGATGGCAAAGCTGCTTACGGACTGAGGGATCACCTTCAGAAGAAACCAGGAGAATGGAATACCCATAAAGGCACTGAATTGTGCACACATGATACGCCCAGAATAGGGATAGACACGAGACAGCTTATCAGCTATTGATCCACCGATAAAAGATCCCACAGCACATCCAATAGCAAAGAGACTAAGGAGCGTTGCTGAACTGTTATGATCAAAACCTGCAAAATCAATCAAGCCATCAAATATCGTTTTAGTTGGGTCACCTTTCCAACTATTTTGAAGCGTCCACGGGAAAAAAAAGAAGACAAATGTTCAATTTGGTAATGTTAGATTAGTTCGCTTTATTGGGCTAGAGCCTCTCTCAGAAGTCAGAACTCCTGGGTTTAACAACTTCCTGTGGACTGCCGTGCCTATATAATTGATGCAATTGCTCTAAGCCTCAAACCATGTGCAACTTCGGGAAACTACAGTTAACATTCTTACAGCTCGAGATTCTGGTGCAGTAATAGGATCTTAATCCTAAAAGATATTACAAAGATATTGTAATGAAGATGCCTTTGTGCTCACCTATCAGTTCGAACCACATTGTGAAGAATACCATGGCAGTCCATGGCAGTGACCCAACAATACCCTGTAAAACAATGATTTGAAATGTTTGCACTTTCATCACAGCTTTCATCGCAGCCCAGGATTCCATCCAAATTGAAGCTGCGCCAGCATTGCCCTTCTCCATAAGTTCATCCCTGCTTCATACATGCAGCCGATTTACCAACTATTGCAAAATCAAAGAAAAACGATGCATTTAGTTGTTTGTATATTTATTGCACTGGAGGATGAAAATAATAATACAGACAACATATACAGATCTACAAGGCAAAATGAATCAAAAAGTTGTTCCACTGCTACATGAATTTGACCGTTCTCTTCTATTTCTACAACAATGACTCGTATAACAAGTGCAAGTTTTCAGGAGAAAAAAAAGGGCAAATATAACTATGTTAACTGTCATAATATTTATACTATCATCTGAAATGTAATTTTCACGGATTTGAGAAAGAAGATAACAGTCCATGCAAACATAATGTAATATGACCATTTGAGTGGATTACACTGTCAACTGAAAATGGTATTACCTATCGGAACTTTCACTAGCATCAGAAGCCGTGATATTTCTTTTTCTTGGATCAACCACATATATTAAAACCAGGAATCCAATTAATCCACTCAAAGATGCCATTAAAATGAAGGCACATCGCCATCCTGGTATGCCCCAAAATTGCTGCCCAGCCATGACTGTAGCCAAAACACCACCTCCTATGCCTCCTACGGTACCAATAAGGCTCAGTAATCCAAACCCAGTTCCCCTCACAGCTTCACTGTAGCTATCGGCTATGAAAGATTGGAGTGCTGGAATCACAATCGCCAAACCAAAGCCATTTACTGCCCTCCAGAATGCAACCTGCAGAAAATCATGGCTGACACCCACAGCAGCAGTTGATAAAGCCCAGCAGAAAGTGCCCATGGCAAGAATTGTGGGCCGATCATGATTTAGAACAAGTATACCTGCCAGGGGAGATGACAATCCCTGCACAAAGTTCCTTATAAATGTGAGGTACCCCAGATCAGATGGCCCAGCATTAAACGCTTCACTGACTTCTTTGTAAACAGATGGAAGGAGATTTTCATCAGCACGCTCCATAATGGCAGCCAAGTTGATAAGAATAAGAGAGAGTGAGATGCCAAAGATCTGTATTGTTCTGTCAGGAAAGAAGGTATGGACAAGATAAGAGCTACTGTTAATGCAGCGAAAGAAACTATTATCCCAGAACATAAGAGGAAATGTGAAAGAAATTCAACAAGTAAACTATTGCAGCGGATCACTGTTTCACATCAGGCACAGAAAGAAAGAAAGGAGAAAATAACAGAACAGCATGTAAAATTAGATGAAGGTAGTATAGTGCAGGACTAGGACCTGATTTTCATAAAAAACGTAAAAAAAAAATGTTTAGGAAATATTCAAGTTAATGAATTGACTAAACCCTTTTATGTCTTAATTTAGTTTATTCCAAACTCTATAGCCAGCAGTCATTTCTCTGTATGATTAGGGGAGGAAATTTTTTGTCAATCGCTACAAATGAGATTGATTCTTTGCAAAATTACTGATATTAGCTTCCCATCATACGATGTGTTTGTCCCACTCAAGAACTCCATGTAAGAGAATGTTAAATTGAAACAAATTTTCGTAAACTAACTTTAAAGAACGAATCCCTGTCTCTTTCTGGCACAGTAGAATTGATGAGATGTCACCCGTAAGCAGAAAACCCTAACACTGCCATTTCAACCTTAAAATGATTTCGACATCTACAGAAAAAGACCAATCTCCTAGGGATAATTGATAACTACAGAAAGTACAGTTATAACCACGATATCTGGCTTAACCACTATTGGTATCCCAGGCGGGGAAAGTTTTAGAACTTAGGCTTCAGGTAGGTAAACTGATTTCGCCGTCGAAAAAGATTTAGCAAACTGTCCTTCATGGAATTTGAGAAGAGTAAATGGATTATCAGGCCAGAGGTAAATGAAGAGAAAGACAAGTCGAACACTGGCGAATTGTGAAATTGGTTTTCCTGATTACATTGCCTCGTTGCTCTAATTTGATGTTTTGAATTGAACCTGTTTTTGTTTCGCAAGGCTGTAGCTTTTCATAACGATAGTATCCCCACATAAAAGACTGAAATTTATGAACGGATGTTCATGTTTTCCAATGGGTATAATTCTCCTAGTCCAAAAGCTACTTATTGGTCCGCACGGATGACATAGAATGTATAAAAAAGCTTAATCCGTGAGGAGGCGTTATACTTCTGCCCGTTGACCTTGGGCAAAAACTTGTTTTAAAATTAACAAATGTTATCACCAGGTTGATACAAGATTCTTTCGATTCCGCTGCATCTGGTAAAATGATCCTCTTGAATACTGGATTCCGTTTGTTAATAATGAGTTAAAGATCCGCATATTTCAAAAGCGGAAGCCATGAATAGCATTAGAAACAAGGAAAGGCTAGAGAGGATGCACGATTATCTTCAGCAAAAGGTGTAAATATAGCAGAAAGTCGAACCAAAAAGGAAAAGGTTGCGATATGAAGCACAGATATGGAAATAAGAGATGATTTCTCCATGAAAAGGTCGGGGGGGAAACAGAAAGAGAGAGAAAGAGCATCCAGAAATCAGAGAAGTTGAATTTGTAAGAAAAACTCACTTCATGGTTACTGAATGTCTGAGACCGTAAATCGGAAGAATGGATCGAAGAAAAACGCCGCCGCCATGTCTAGGAGTCCGAGTGAGACGCATCGGGAAGTGTTTGTGTTCAAGACCCAGCGCCAATGGCGGATCTCTCACTCCGCCTTGTATTTTGGCGCTTTGCCGTGTAAACTGTCAGCAATATTATTTTAAAACAAAAAATGAAAATAAAAAAAGCAAATATTTACGCACAATCTGCACACGGCACAGAAAATGGGTAAATCGGAGATAAACAAGGGCGAGAAAGGAAAGAAGTGGAAAGCGCGTCACTAACGGTCAACAGATAGAATTTGACCAGAAAACAAAAGGTCAACAGATCGAAGTCTGGACTGTGTAGAATAGGCAGGGCTGACGACTTATTTAAACTTATTTTTATAAAAATTTAAATTTTAAAAATGAAATTTTTTTTGAAGTAATTGACCTCTAAACTTAACCATGATAAGCCATTAAAAAAAAAAAGACTTCAGTGATCAACCAAGTTGGTTTTATTTTATTTCATTTTTTACATTGGCCCCAAAATGCACCATTTGAGCTTCTTAAAGAAATGCTAAAGTGCCAGACGGCTAAACCCCAGACACTCTGAATTCAGCCTCTCGCTTGAGAAGTCGACTCCCCTGGGTTGTCATTTGAAGTCGGGTCATGTTTCAAGGATTGGCGGCATGTTAAATCAGGACCAATTTCATTAGTGCTGTAATGAATGGCTTTCTATTTTTATTTTTTATATATCTTTTAGACTTCTCAGTTCTCAATTCTAAATCTCATTTACGGTGAGGATATTGAATTTGTTTGATTTATTTTGAGTTTTAAATTATTTAATTAATTTATAATAATATAATTTTGAATTTAATATATTTTAAAAAAACAATCTTATGGCCCGACTCTAAATTTTTTGAATAAAAATAAAGCCTCAAAAAAATGAATAATTTTTTAAAAACTAAGCTTTAGTACTTGGTCCTATAAGGGTCATAAGAGCCAGGCTCTTATAAGTCAAGCTCTTCTGTTTTTTAACTCTAATACTGCATGCTACTGTGATCCTCATGAGTTGCGATAATGTGGGTTTTATGTATCTGATGATGAGTCTTGATGCCATTACGGGTTCTCTCACCTAAGTAGTTCCCCTTAAATTTCAATTGTAATTTTGTTTTTTCTACTCTAACATTAAGCTTGATTAAATTTAGGTCTGTTATGACGTACAGAAATGTGTTTGGTGTAATATTAAGCAATGAAATGGCATGCGAAAAAGAATATTGAAATAAAAACTTTAAAATAAAAATATTATTGCCCTCCAAATATAACAGACTACTCTACAAGGACAAAAAATTGTATTTAGGAGTAAACATAATCGCACTCAAAACTTGTTTATAATAGGTATATATATATAGAGAGAGAGAGAGAGAGATTATATATACATGTTGTTACTTTCTTTTAATGATGTGGGTGAAATTGCATTCTCTTCTAATCCCACGTGTTTAAATTTAAATTACTCTTACTTATACTTAGAAGTTAGTAACACATAATTAGTTGTTTAAATTTAAATTACTCTTACTTATACTTAGAAGTTATTAAAACATAATTACTTGTTTTAAGTTATTGTTGCCATCATATTCATTTTTAGGAAAAATGGGACTTCACTGGTCAAAAAATTACACCGAGACAAACGTTGTAAGCAACAACAGACGCAATGTAGGAGTCAGACTGTACAAAAAAATGATTATCAATTTCATTCATTTTCGAGACTTGAATGATAAATGGACCATTTGTTTTCCAAGATTTGGACCATTTTTTTTTTTTTAAGTCATTGACTAGTTATTGGCAGAAGCCTGGCGATGGATATGTCCTTTAATTCTCTGGGCTAGGCTTATTTTAGCTTGTGGGCTTTCAGGTAAATAACACAAAATAAGACTGCTGAAAAGTAGGCACAGTTTCGGTTTTGGACAATTACCAGACCCAATTTTGGGCTTTTTTTTTGGTCTCTTTCAAGTTTCTTTTTTTGTTATGTCATCGTCTTCTCTGAGCGCGAACAACTTGAACGATGCATAATTTGTGACTTAGACTATATATGGACATACCGATATATTGTTTGTGATCCAAAATGAAATAAAAGGAGAAATGTCTATCGTGTTATAAATGAAAAATATTTTTGCATATATATATTTTTTATTTAATTTATTTTTTAAAAATCATTTTGTGTTTTCGTTTAGGTTGTAATGTACGGACGGCTCCCTATAAAATTTATTTTCCTGAAAAAAATATGGTCCCCTTTGCGTATTAAAATAAAATGAATTAAAAAATAAAATAAAAAAGATGACCAAAGAAAATAAGTGAGTGTATTCATAAATGAAAGAGATATGTAATTTAGTTCATGGTTGAGAATCATGATTTATGAGATCCTTGAAGGATGTATTGATTTTCACATTTGTAATATATATTAATGAGTTTTATTATGCTTATCACAAGGGAATAGTAATTTAGTTTTTTTTGATGTTTTACTTCATTTCATTCTATTCATTTCTAATAGCCAAATAGGACCTATATATTTTTCTTTGGAATGATAATGATAAAATTACTATGTAGTCCTACAAAACCTATCTAATTACTTTTGAGTCTCTTGAAATGAACAAACAATCTTAAATCCCCAGGTCCTCTTGTAAATAATTTTTATTCCCAGTTACACGACTAACCTCATACCACACCCTCCTTCTTAAGTCCCTAGCTAAATCTTGATGAATGAATTAATGAGGGAGGGATGGTTGGTCGAAAACAATGAAGGAGGGAGGAGTGAGTTTAGAGTTTTTATTTCTATTAGTCAAAGTTTAGTCTTTTATTTTTTGAGAAAGCACAACTTTGTGCCCTTGTACTTTGCTCTAATTTTATTATAGATCCTTATATTTTTTTGACGTTCTTAGATAAAAAAGTATGAGTACAGGAATTTATAGTAAAACTCAAGCAAAATACACAGACTTAGAGTTATATTTTTCCTTTTTTTTTTTTAAGGTTGAACTTAAAAAAAATTAAAATGGCTTAAAAGGCTAGCCTTTTTTATTTTTGTGCTTGAAAAAGTATGGACTTTTAAGTTTGAATCACAATTTCTTATATTAAAATAGTGGCTTAATCCTAGTTATTTTTTAATTTTAAAAAGTCAACTTAATAAGCTTTGTCATAATTGACAGTTCTACACTTTGATGTTAGAGTTTATGCTCAACTTGCCAACTCGCAAAAATAAGTGAATGGGTTCATTTCTATGCGAGTCAATTTTAGCTTGCCTTTACATAATTTGAACTTGATGCGGGCTAACTCATAGGTTAGCTCGCTTATTATTAAAAAAGGGATAGAGACTCACAAAAGCCTTGTGCTCGACCATTTTTGTCACAAACTCACAGACATAGTAACCTTTGATCTTAATCTTTACTCTCTCTATCCTTCATATAGTCTCGATCTCTTGCTCACAAGTCATTGTTGTTGGTCAATTGATCACAACATGGTTCAGGCTCACCATAATAGTCACCCTTACGGCCTTATCCTTTGGCCGACCTTCTTCGAGTTCAAGTACTCTCTCTCAATCTCTACTCTCTCACACTATCAAGGTCACAAACTCACAGCTCACTAGTTGCAGTCACCTTTACCCTTCAGCCTCCTCCTCTTCCTCCTTCGAGTTTGAGTCTCTCTCAATCTCTCTCATAATCTCACTCTTAAAAAATAGTTTGAGTCCATTGATTAGCATTAGATAAATTCACTTACTTCCCAAAAAATGTGTCAGTTCATGGCAATAATACATTAATTAAATAAGTGGTTTTTGCCACTTCTCATATGCTATATAAACTTCTTTACTTATAGCTAATGGTTGTAATCTATGGAATCAAATACCCAATTCATTTACCTTAGTTGAACTAATTATATGATGCAGTGTATAAGATTAGGGAGAGCATTAAATATGTAAAGGCATAAGAGGTAAGGATGATAAAGTTTAAAAAATACGTTCAAGAGGAAGGGGATGACATTTCCATGGGCCTGAGGTTAGATGTCCCAACTAAATGAAAGTCAACACATCCAATACTTGAAAGTGCACTTAAATATCGTCGTACTTTTGTTAATTTAGCTTTATGTGATACCAATTTTAAATATTCTCTTACAAGTGATTCGATGCACTGTAATTAAAAAATTGAACATATTAGGAGTAAATTATATTATTTGTTCAATGATTGTAAAGATGTGATATCGTCATCATCTTTAGCTACTATTAGTGTTATTGGAGAAGAAGGTGCATTAATTTCTAGTGTGCCTATGTCATTGTCATCATCATCATATCAATTTACTCTTGATATGGTGGAATCGAAGGAAGATAATTACATTGATGCTTTTATTGTAAGTTTTAAATGATTTTCATAGTTAAATGTGTTGTTTTAATGTTATGTGGATTGACAACTTTTGGTGATACTCAATGATTTAATTTTATATTCCAGTATTATCTTACTTGTAATAACCAAGACATTCACGAAAAAGTCTAAATTAAACTATTACATGGAAGAAGCAACACTTGATCCTAACTTGAAAAAAATTAAATATGTTGAAGTATTGGAGGACTGACTCAACTTGATTTGCTCATCTTTCAATGATAACATGCAATATTCTCAGCATCCCAATCATTACAATGGCTAGTGAATTTACTTTTAGCATTTGATCGAGAGTTCTCACAAAATTTTAAAATAACCTTCTTCTAAATAATGTTGAAACTCTTATTTGTACTCAGAATTGGATTTCGGGTTTTCCATGGCTCAATAGTATAATGATTATATTTTGTCATGTATCTTCTATACTTCTATATGTTAATTATATTTTCATGTTTAGTTATGTTTTATTTTTTGTTTGTGGCAGATGAAGCTTTGGAGAAATTTACTCAGATTAATGTTCTTGTAGCTTTTGGTAAAGTTTCCAACATTATGATTGATTAGAAGAAATCTTGTGACATGTTATGTTTAATTATGTTGTTAGATTATATTGTATTGTATTTTTTAAAATGAGTTAGAAGGAGTTTTATTATTATTTGGATAATTATTTTTTAGAAAAAATATTTTTTTATTGCAAAAAAAGATGAATTTATAATTTTTAAAATTTTAAAAATATAAAAAATGATATTTTATTGGCAAGTTAGC